CATGCTCCAGAACAGAAACCGGGATAAGCTCAGGCTAAATAGGCCACTTGGTTCCGTCGCAGCCTGACCTCTGCCTATGATAACTGTTTTTTCTTTTCAGTCCAGACTTGTGCTTTGTCTGTCAATAAAGTTTAAAAGTTAATGGCTAGTAGCGTCAAATCTAGTAACAGTTCAAATTTTAAGAAAAAAGGTTTCAATGGTTGTGCTCCACCTTACTCTATCTTGTTCATTGTTTCAACAGAACTATCAGCTGCGAAAGCCCAAGAAAAGGTGAGTACAAGAACACCAATGATTCTAAGGTATTTTACTACCTGTGGACGAGTAAGTTGCAGAGTACGCGTAATTTTGGCGCAACCTTTTCTTGGTGGAAATAATAGCTGCTACCTTTGATTATTATAGCAGTAGAGGGCTGGGAAGAGGAAGAAATTTGTACCCAGGTGGTGAGCGACGGTCAAAAGGAAGGATAGGGGAGGGGAAGTGAAATTGAAATTAAAACTCGCCCTGATAAGACGCCTGCACTGCAGGCTAGTGGACGATTTGTCTTGTAGGTGACGAATCTGTTATTCAAAGTTGTTCACAGGCGATATTATTGCTGCCTCGTGACAAAACCTTGGAAGCGAATTTGTCAGCAGTTATGCATTTAATTTTGGGTAGATTAATACACCTAATTATAAAAACGGCAGGTGCCTCAGACGATCTGGATCGAGTTGCATGAGAACGAGGCACCGAAGGCCACGATTTCAGTGTTTTCTCATGAGCAGTCTTTTAAATGCTTTATGTGTTTATATTATATTCAGCGTCTTCTCTTTGACCAAGAACGTCTGCAACTGACCAATAGGCAATTGGAGGAAGAAGTTGGAAGGTTAAAGGTGGGTTGGGCCACAATCTTAGGCAGAAACCTACAGTTTTTGGATGTCAATGGATTTGAGTGGCAGGACCAGAAATGATCATTTAGGGGAGCGCTTTTTGATATGTTTTCACTTTCTCTTTATCATAGGCGTTCTATGAAAGTAATTTTGTTGAGAATGGCCAGTTGGAGACCTACAAGCAGGAGCTTGAAGCTAAGGTAACTTGAGACTTAAGTCGTACCGATATCAGTCCATGAAGCACTTTACTACTGAGAGTGCAAAGTAATCCGAGACAAATTGTTCCTGCTTTACTTCGCTCTATGATTGGTTTTAAAAAACTCGCTCCACCTTCTCGACCAATCTGATGCAAAGCTTAAACCTTTCTCGGTTTGGTCACCCGAGTTTTCCCGCGCTTCGAGCGGTCTGCTTGTCTTTGCTTTAAGTTTTGATTGGCTTCTTGGGATAACAATGGTTTTGGTCATGAGACTCTCGTTTGAAATGTGCTCGTAAGTTAGGAAGAAGACCCAAAATATTGACGCGCTTATATGTAGAGAATTTGTCATAGTGGCTGTCGTTTTTACTTCTCTCGTTTCAAAATATGTGACTCTTTTCTCCAACAGTCCCGCTTTGAGTTGAATCGTAAATTAGAGGAAGTCAACGCTCACTTAGAAGAACAGGTGAGGCGGTTTTAATTTTCATAAGTATTTTTGCTCATTCTGTAAAGAGATTTTTATCAGTGTGTGTGTTTGTGGCATTCCCCTGTGATTGCTTTGGTTTCGCTCTGTGATTGCTCCAGAAAGCTTGCGCTACTGTCAACCAATCAGATGCAAAGCTAGCACTAATCACGAATTTGTAGCCCGCGTTTCTCCTGCGCTTTAGTTGGTTTTAATTTTAGTCCTCATTGGATCTCCGGGGTATTTTCCTTTACAATACTCAATCGAAAGCGTTAATGAAACTGTGTTGTAAGTGATAACTATAAGTTGCCCTTCTGGGTGGTTGTTTGATTTTTTTGTGTGGTTTATTTGTAGTTGGTGGACTTATGTGCGTTCTCACTTGAAAATTGTTTTATCACATTTTTTATGAAACGTCGTTTATGTTTCCTCGTAGGCCGCTGCGCGGGAGAAACTTGATAAACTTCGCGAAGCAAATGAACTGAAGACCAGAAAGGAGCTGGAGATGACTATAACAGACCTAAAGGTTAGTGTTATTCTGTCGCATAGCGGGCATAAAAACGGAAAAAGAAAAAAGGTCACCGATCGCAAAAGCGTGGGGAAAAAAGCAATCACTAATCCCGTGCGCGAGAAAAGAAAACAGTCGCTTACCACAAGAGGGGGAAAGTCAGTGGCCAACTGCATGCGCAGGAAAAACACTCACCTATCGTATGCAGGGCAAAATCGATCACTAATCGTAAGCGTGGTAAAACAATCAGTCACCGTTCACAAGCACTCGGATTACAAGTTATGAACGACAATAATTGGAAGCTTATGGTATTTATGCGTATGTGTTAGGCTGATGTGGCGAAAATGCGAGCTGGATTCCATGAAAGCCAAACGCGGAAAGAGACTTTAGACGCTGAGGCTAAAAGATACAAGGTAATATTAAATCAGTGATTTCATAAAGCAGCTACTATCAACAGTCCTTTGAAGCTAATGTCACGTATCTTAACTTATACAATCTTGTAAGACAATTTTGTATGTAAATAGCTGCTGTCTCAGTACCGGTTGGTGCGAGAGACCCAGTGGCCTGGTAGCCAGTGCGAGAGATCTGGGTTCCAGCCCCAACCGGTTCATTTGTGTTGTGTTCTTAAGCGAGACAGTTAACTCCCACAGTGCCTCTCTTAACCCCCTCCCCCTTGAGTATATACGGTTATAAATAAATTGTCAGGGGAATATGATGAAATGCTGGTGCTTTGTTTGCGATGAACCAACAACTTGTTAAGAATTAGTTTGTGAGCTCGATATTTCTATCACTTGATAAACGATTAACATGTTTTTTTCCTCAGGATTTATACGAGAGTGAGATGAAGTCGAAAGATAGGCTAGCGAGCCGCCTGTACAAAGCTAACGAGAAAATGGCGGAATCTCAAGCGTTACTTAAGTAAGCAATTCGCTATACCTTCAACTGATTAATCCAATAAGTTCGTGAATCACGCCTCGTGTTCGCCTTGCGCTGGATTGAACAAAGATTTGAGAATTTTCTCCTCAAACAATCATAATAATTGCGAGCAGAGAGTCGATGAGAAGGTAGAAAAAGATGAAATCGGTTATATTGTTTAGTTGAACACCAAATTCTCCGAGTAAAGGTATATGGCCAATAGTGTAGTGAATTTATATTTAGATCACTTGTTCGGATTCTCAACACACTTGATTTGTATTTCATTTTATATGATCCCACACACATTTTGATTGATTCCTAACTAGAAGTATTGGAGGACAGACGCATAGATGACATCACTACGAACAATTTTCTTTTTTTTAATTTTATAAAATACTAGTGTCATACTCGGTGACATACTCGGTCATGCCTGGTGTGCCTCTCTTTCGTTCTTACCACATTGTGACGTTATCTGTGATCTCTCGCTGAACAGACGCACGTCGACATGGGATAGTTTTTTTAAAAAGAACACAATGATAGGGTAGTGTTTAATAGTAACTGAACCTTCACAGTTTGCACAGAAGTGTTACTAATACTTCCGAATGTTTCTTTTCCTTTCACAGTCTGGAGAGATCTCGTAGAAATTTCGATGGATTAAAGCGCGACACGTCTCCGCACCAGTTTACCTCGGGTGGCATCTTAAATGGTTCACCCAGAACAAGCCCTGATAGAATGTACTCTAAGGTACGCTTAATCCCGATCACGATAGGATCGATTTAATCTCTGTTGTCGTCTCAAAAAGCACCATGGAATAATCGGCTACTG